AATAGTTTTAAGATCCTCAACGTGCTCTGGCAACATGTAATTAGGGTTCCAGTCATCATCATCGATCTCATATCTGAACGTCCTGTCGAACTCAGACTTCTTCAATTTAAGGGATTCAACCCTCTGTGACTCAATCCAGACAGCATCCATACCATCTTCCCCATAAAGAAACTGAATGACATCTCCCAGGGAGTTCCTGACTGTACCATCATACTTAACCATAATATCTTCCATAGCTTTCACTAATCGCCTCTGGATATAACCAGTCTCAGAAGTTTTGACTGCAGTATCAATCAAACCTTCTCTACCACCCATGGCATGGAAAAAGAACTCTTGAGGAGTCAACCCTCGAAGATAAGAGTTCTCCACAAAACCACGACTCTCAGGTCCATAGTCATCCTTGGTGAAATGGGGAAGAGTCCGATCTATGAAGCCATAAGGGATTCGCTTACCCTCAACATTTTGCTGTCCCACACAAGCAGTCATCTGTGATATATTAATGAAACTTCCTTTAGACCCTGCTGTAACCATGGCCTTGAGATTGTTACTCTCCGATAAGCTTTTCTGGGCACTACTTCCAGCATCATCACGAGCTTTGTTCAACACCTAGACATGGAAACTGCATTAGGAAAATCATCAGGACAAAGTAAGGCCATCCAGAAAACACTTTACATTCCTGTACCTGATTCACTCTGTTCTCAAATGATTCCATCATAGTTCGTCCAGGCTCCGCCTCTAACTGCTTATCTTGTGCAGCCCTAATAAGTTCTTTCACCTCGTTTTTTGCCTTAGAAATAGTTTCGTTAATTTTTTCCATAGTTGATGCATCTGCAATTGTGTCTCCAATACCGATACTAAAACCATTCTGCAAAAGCCAATAGTTCACAAGCCATTGGGTATGTCCCAAGAACTTGCGAGCAGCGTCAGGGCCAACCTCCTCCCTGAACATGTGAACACAAATTGACAACAGAGTGTACTTTAAAAATTGTAAAATCAAATTAATAGAATCCAAGAATCATTTTCTACATTTTGAATTTTTAAAAACACACCAGATAACATGAATTAGACTTCCTGTAGAAGTGCCAAGGGTTTTCTTGCAAAGAGTGCCAGAAAGAACTTCCCCCCTTTCTATTCGAACATGAGTGTCTCCCGGAGTAATATGTCCAGTTTCGGTTTCTGCATGCCAAGCTGACGTCCTCAAGAGATTTATCTGCTTGGGAATGATGAGATTAAAAACTTGCTTCCCTGTCCAAAGGGGTCTAGGCTTCAAGATTGCAGGTGCGGGTATTTTCCCATCAAAATCCTCCCACCACATCAAAATGTTCATGAAAACATCCTGCCAAAGTAAAACAATGGATCAGGTCTTTAGTCAAGTGTATTAAACGATCTCAATAAACAACTAACAAAAAATGCATTACCTTCTCAATGAAGGTGTCTCTCTTAGTGATCTTACGGCAACCTAAAAGGGTATCTTGCACAATACCCATGACTGGTCTATTTGATTGAGGAGACACGATGCATTTAGGTACCATCATCAACTCCAGAACTTCTGCTCTGGTTTCAAAAGACTGAGGTACATGCATGTTCATTTCATCTCCATCAAAATCCGCATTGTACGGGGAAGTGACAGACAAATTTAAGCGAAAAGTTGAGTATGGCATGATCTTGATTTTATGCCCCATGATAGACATCTTATGAAGACTGGGTTGACGGTTAAAGAGAACAAAGTCTCCATCATTTAAGTGTCGCTCCACCTGCAATAGCGAGAAGCATATTCAAGATGCAACTAAAATTAAACTACTCAACCATAACTACAAAACACAAAAAAAGGATGGTTGCCTTGTATCCGAGCTCCAGATGACAGTCACTACTTTTCTTCAAATAACGAAGATCAAGCCTCTGACCATCTTCTCTAATGATGTACCTGGCTCCAGTTTTCCCAGGGGGAGGATGAGGGCCATTTTCAACAAGCTCCTTTAGCCTGGCCAAAAATGATAATAATATTTATCGTAGGTACAACTGGAACCATAAAGAGTAAACTGCAGACAGTTTCTATACAAACTGAGACCTTTCAATATTATACGGAGTGACAGTTTCTGGATACGTCAAATTCAAAGCAATACTCCATGGAACTCCCAATTCATCAATGTTAATGGTTGGATCTGGGGTGATGACTGTCCGTGCTGAAAAATCGACCCGCTTACCCATCAAGTTACCCCTAATCCGACCCTCCTTAGCTTTAAGCCTACTGCAGATTGATTTAATAGGGCGGCCTGACCTCTGTGTAGCCTGAACAGTAGACAAAAACCCAAGTGAGGCCACATATCAATAGAAAAATCAAAATATAAGGGCTGGAAGATGCAGACATACCCTTGGCTGACCCGGAAGCTCATTGTCAAAATATGTAGCTACATGGAACTGCAACAATTGTGCAAATTCAGATATTATATGTGCAGGAGCCCCATTTCTCTCCTGTCTCCTCAGATTCTCATTATGCCTTATGATCATGGCCAACTGATGGGTCAAATCATCCTAAATCAACCAAAACAAGAAAAAAAAAAAATAGGGCATTAATTTTCAGCTTGGAATCTCCAACAGAAGCAGATTGCCTTAAAAAACTTCACATTTAAACCATATTACCCACACACAACCCTGTTTCGCGACTATGAACGACCATTTTACAAAAGCTTCGTGTATTAAGTCTCAAATTTCCAATCTTCACAAAATTGAAAAATACTTATAGGCCATGGCATTCCACCAAAACCCCACAGTATCAGGACAACTTGTAGATTTAAGAGCAGGGCCCCTCGTAAAAGGAGTATAAGACCGCACAAAGGACTTGCCTCACTCCGTGCGGATGTATCCATCATCACCGAAGGTCTTACAGGAGGGGGAGGTATTGGGAGGACTTGCAAAATCATCCAATCTGGACGGGCAAACTTAGGATTCAAACCCAACAAAATGCAGTCTTCATCACTTATTCGCTTGAGGACATTAAGAACCTGTAATGTGGCATATACCATTACTATCAAATGTAGTAAGCCAGACACTGAGGTAAGGGATTGAAATGACAAATATAAAACTAGAAGCAATTCCCAAAGGAAATTGGGAAATATACAACTAGAAAAAATTCAAAATGGACTTACCCTTTCAGCAGAAAGCTGTTGTTTCCTTTCAACAGGTTCGGGAAGCTGTTCAGGGTCGTCACTTTTCTTTTTCTGAATCTTGTATTCAGCAATCATTTTCATACCTTCAATAGTAAGCTTTGGCTGCTGAGCACCACAACCCCCTCTACTCTTCTTAACTGGTTCATCAGTGTCTTGACCTTGGGACTCAATTTCATCACCACCTTCGCATTTGGTTTTGCTCTTGCAGCTATCTAAAATCTTTTTAAGCCTGTTTTTGGGATTTCTGATTTTCTGAGCCTGTTTAAATTTGTGATCCTCCTACAAATATAGAAACCGAATAATAAATTCAACCTGCAATGGTGTACGCTGGATGATGAACAAATGCGGGGCTCAGGTGACATGGCTTTTTTGATAATCAAGTTTATCAGATAGATCACCAATTAGAATGGATGACAAACACACTAAACGACTAAAAAGCTGAACAGATACAAAAACTTATAATCAAGGCCAGAAACTAGGGCGTTCTGGCCTCTTACTTAACTGAGGCGAACAAATTACCTCATCGGCAAGAATCTTGGAGCAATTGAAGCAAACACACCGCATAATACTGAGTACTGTTTTTATAAACCCAATATGGAACATGGGTTTGGCAAGCTCAAGGTGCCCAAAGTGTCCAGGACACTCTGCCATACTGGCCATACAGGTCTCGCACTTCATCTTCCGATCAATGGTACCCAGACGAGGATCGCTAAGGCCGCCAATCTTTGGCTTCCCTCTCTCCATCGTCTCACTGTGCTCGATATGCACCACCGACATTTGCCTCTGCAAAAAAATAAAAAAAAAACACATCACATATCACAATTTTCAAACCTTTGAAACCCTAACCATCCGATTGGCTGCAGATAAAATTTGAAAGAAAAACTAATAATATGTTGTGAATTGACTGTCACAAAATTTCCAAGCTTCCTCATCCGATCAATTCTCCGCAACCAAAGAGAGTAGACAGAAAATGGATCAGTGGAGATAGATATAGAATCGGAAAAGAAATTACAATTTCATCGGGGCTGATGATGCCGAACTGAACAAAACGGACTTTGGAGACCTCCGCCGGCGAGTATGGAAATCGAATATCCATGGCTGCTTCAGATCGTACAAGATTTCAATAGATAGATCGAGAAAAAATAGGGTTTCCAAATAGTTCTATGACACCAATACAATTGTTGTTCTTTTTTTTTACAATTTTTACAAATTTCAAACCAAACGGCCATTATTCAGGTTGGTTCAAGAGGTAGTGAATTCATAGGTCGCACTCTCAAGCGTTCTCTGGATATAGATCGCAAGACTCTAAACAAAAACAAACCCTTTCGATGAGATGCATATTTATAGACCCTGCAACGGTGCCCTAGCGTGCTGCCCACGAACTTAGTTACTTTACCCGAAATACCCCCCTATGGCGGCGTTGCCTTACAAAGTTATCCTGAATTTTGATCTCGTATATGAATTTAATTTTAATGAATTCGGGTAATTGATTTGTTAGATTTAATTAATGATTAATGTTACATGAATTTAAAAATTAAATTTAATAGTTAAAATTAAATAGATAATGGGTTTTAATAAATATTGAGACTTATAGTGAAATTAATTGTTGTAATTATCAAATTTATTTTTTAAGTTTAATTTTTAAATTCATGTTGTATCATTCTTAATTAATAAATTAATTGTGTATGAGTTAAATTATCTAATGACGGAATTAAATTAAGTCCTTGGTTAGATTCTTAAATTAAGGAGCAATGCTATTGAGACTTAATTTGTTGACTTAATTTGCTGACTTAATTCACTATAACCTTTGGATTAACTATGGGCTCCATCAAATATTGGAACTCAGTGTTTATCCAATGGTTCCAATGAACTCACGTCATTAGATCAGCAAATAATGTCAGATTTTTAAGTCCAAATAATATTTTCCTAAATTAAGTTCCTGATTAGATTTTTAAATTAAATTTTAGTAGTATTGTTCAAGTCAAAATATTCAGTATTTATATGTGAGTTGAGTTTAGCCAAAAAAATCTCAATAGATTTAAATTCGAGTAATAATGGGATTGAAATTTTGGAATTTTTAGACCCAACTCAAACCAGTAGAAATTAGTGAATCCAAGTTTAATCCGAGTTGTACGTGAATTTTAATTTAAGTTGTGTAATTTGAAAATCAAACTCGAATTCAATTCAATTTCAATCCGCTCAGTTTTTTGTTTAAATTATATCAAACCTAATTTTAACTTAATTTTCAACTTGGATTATGTATCGGGATGCAAAAATTTTGAATAAATAATACTCATATTGAAGCATTCAAGTTGAATTGAAAATTCAAATTAAGGTCGAGTTAAAGAATTTTATATCTTAAATTGAATTAGAATTGATCTTTTAATCCGTCCTACTTACCGTGTTATACCCGTAAGCGAGAATCCTACTCTTTCACCCAAAATCATAAGTTATGGAAGGAATACTACAATTAGGAATTGCCTCTTAGTGTATTAGTGTGTGTTTTTTTTTAGTGTAATTATTTTCTCTAGTGTAATAATTTTTATGTAAGTATATTTAGATTTATTACTTTCATTGTTTAATAAAAAAATAAATACTCAACTTAATGAGTACTTATTTGTAATCTATTTTAACCCGTTTAATTAAATTAAGTGTTATTATCTAACTCATTTAAAATTCACATTAATTAATATAAATACCTAACATATTAATTTTTGCACAAATTAGATGTGTTAATAGGTAAAAATTACCACTTTTAATCCCTCCAATTGAATTAACTAACATTCCACGACTAGTTGTAACTGCATTAGGATGGATACAAGTAATGATTATCTTAATTTATAACCCTCCATTCCCAGAAAAAAAAAAAAAAAAAAGGCAAGTGTGGAGTAGAGCGAATTTAACGAACCTTGGCTCATTCACCGATACTCATACACCCAGATATATAAATTATTTGATTACGGGACTCTCAATCAATAGGCTCTATCAACAAAAAAATATTGTATTTTTTAGCATGATTTTTTGTGATCCAAGTGTATGTTATCTTTATCGATTGATCTATAATTATGTTTCTCCAGTGAAAGCTGTGGATTCGAATGACTCTACGACGCACTAGAATTGAGGAGAAAAGATAGTTATCATTACGTTTTCCTATTCATCATTTGAATAGAATCAGTTGATTTTTTGACATTTTCGAGGTCAATCTTTGTCTTGATCCCAATAAGTTCAGATGAGGATGTGAGGATGTCCCTGGCGATTTTGTATCTAAGGTGCGGTGTTTTTTTCTTTTAGTGGTCTATAGATTTGGTTGACTCCTCTTGTTCTTCTATTGATTAGAAAATCCATTAGCACCACGCCGGTTTAGATTTTGATTATAAAGGCTATGGGGAGCCTTATTCTCCTTCAAACAGTGACATAATGGTTTGTTAGATTCACAGTAAGAGCTCTTTTATAATCCTATCAATCAATTTGACGATGAATTAGTTGTGGCCTTGGTCAATGAAGTCAATCTCCTATTTCTCTTGACCACAAAATGGCGGGACCGTGTCTAATATAAGAGATTGTCAATTGGGTATCAAATTCTTTGATTTAATTTCGCGATCAGATGAAATTGGAAAGGAAGGGAAACTAGAGGCCTATGAGGACGGCCTAACACAAACAAACTGAGGCCTAAATTGAGAATTTTATGAGACCTCAATTAATATTTTTAGAAAATAATAATTATTTTTTAACTATTGTTAGACGTTTTACAAAGAGTTGCAATATGATTTATTTTCAATGTTTTAATGCATTTGCGATGAGTGCGGGATCAAATAATAAATTGGGTGCAATTGTGAAAGTCAAGTTCTTATAAATAAATAAATTGAATGAAGTCTTAAAGAAACAACAAGAGAGATAGAGATGAGGGTTAAGAACCAGAGCAAGACAATGAAAATGTGAGAGAAAGAAAAAGTTAGGAAGAGGTGGTGAGAGGGGAAGAAAAAATAGTAAAAAATAATTTGAGATAGATTACTATTTTTAAAGTTAGAAATCATTACTTTTAAAATTTTTTAGAAGACTTTGTTATATTTTAGGACTTTTTATATATAAGGATTTACATAGACTGTGAAAAAGTTATTACATTTTAGGGCTTTGTATAAAGTTTTAAATAGATTTATAAAATATGTTAGGCCTTTAACTTGGTCTATTCAAAAGAGTCTCAAAATATGAAATTGAACGAAGGGTTAAAAATTAAATTAGGGCCTAGGAGACTAATTTAATGGTTAGGCCTACTATGCCTCCTCCCATTCAAATGATCGAACGGCTTGTGTATTTTGTAATAATTATAGTCTCTGTTTATGCTTCATTTTCGAGTCTTCGTCTATGAAACCAATTAAGTAAGATAAATTAATTAATGGATGACACGTAAAGATTAAATTTAATACATTTGTAACTCAATATTTTATGCATTTTTTTAATTTGTCAAAAATAATGTGTGGACCATTACAAAGTATTGTAAAGTTATTCAATATTACAACGTGTTGTCGTATAATTTTTCTTTTTAGTAATTTAGGCATTTAATATATAATAAACATTAAGTATGTGTCATTTCATACTCATACTATCTAAGTACAATTGTGCACTTGAAACCCTATCACAATTTTTACCACGTAAGCATTGAGTCTATATCATTGGTATATGTCTATGGCCGGCTCATCAGGATTCAGGAGAGTCGAAAAAGTATGGTCTTTAAGCGCCGCACATAAAAGAGACTCTAAATTTTAATAAACTTTAAGTATAAATTAAAAATTAAAATTAATTATAATTTAGTTTAACAAAAAAATTTCTAAAATATTAAGTCAATAAAATAAAAGTTAGAATTTAGGTCTAAAAGTACAGTCCATATCATATATACACATTTATTAAAGGACAAAAAAAATGGTTAACACTTTAATAAAATAAGCTCCACACATAAAAGAGACCCTAAATTTTAAAGTTTAATAATTAAGTATAAATTAAAAATTAAAACTAATTATAATTTAGCTTCACAAAAAACCCTATCTAAGTGCAATTGTGCACTTGAAACACATCACATATCACAATTTTCAAACCTTTGAAACCCTAACCATCCGATTGGCTGCAGATAAAATTTGAAAGAAAAACTAATAATATGTTGTGAATTGACTGTCGCAAAATTTCCAAGCTTCCTCATCCGATCAATTCTCCCCAACCAAAGAGAGTAGACAGAAAATGGATCAGTGGAGATAGATATAGAATCGGAAAAGAAATTACAATTTCATCGGGGCTGATGATGCCGAACTGAACAAAACGGACTTTGGAGACCTCCGCCGGCGAGTATGGAAATCGAATATCCATGGCTGCTTCAGATCGTACAAGATTTCAATAGATAGATCGAGAAAAAATAGGGTTTCCAAATAGTTCTATGACACCAATACAATTGTTGTTCTTTTTTTTTACAATTTTTACAAATTTCAAACCAAACGGCCATTATTCAGGTTGGTTCAAGAGGTAGTGAATTCATAGGTCGCACTCTCAAGCGTTCTCTGGATATAGATCGCAAGACTCTAAACAAAAACAAACCCTTTCGATGAGATGCATATTTATAGACCCTGCAACGGTGCCCTAGCGTGCTGCCCACGAACTTAGTTACTTTACCCGAAATACCCCCCTATGGTTACAAAGTTATCCTGAATTTTGATCTCGTATATGAATTTAATTTTAATGAATTCGGGTAATTGATTTGTTAGATTTAATTAATGATTAACGTTACATGAATTTAAAAATTAAATTTAAAAAATAGATTTAATAATTAAAATTAAATAGATAATAGATTTTAATAAATATTGAGACTTATAGTGAAATTAATTGTTGTAATTATCAAATTTATTTTTTAAGTTTAATTTTTAAATTCATGTTGTATCATTCTTAATTAATAAATTAATTGTGTATGAGTTAAATTATCTAATGACGGAATTAAATTAAGTCCTTGGTTAGATTCTTAAATTAAGGAGCAATGCTATTGAGACCTAATTTGTTGACTTAATTTGCTGACTTAATTCACTATAACATTTGGATTAACTATGGGCTCCATCAAAT